TGACCAGGCTGAGGCGACAACGCCTCCTTTGCGCTCTTGCCCGTGAGGGGCGATGACAGCTTTCTCTCACTTGCGTATCAGAGCAGGCTATAACTTGACTTCACCCTGCCCTCGTGTATAGGGCCGAGGTTACGTGCTGTGCTTTTGCGCATCACAGATGATCTCTGTTGGGTGAAGCGAAGTCACGGCCTGCTTTAATAATGCAAGCGAAAGATCTGCCAAGCTGCAGGGTCATGGGCAGATAATCACCCCACTTACCAGCTAGCGCTCACGGCTGCGCCACCACAGACAGCACCAGCCGCACCACTGTACATTCGCCATGGCAACATGTAGGCGACAGGCTGCAGCGTCGGCCACAAGGCTGAGGCTGAGCGACAATAGATGTCGAAAGCGCTGCTGCTGCTGTTGCCAGACTATGATCAATCCCTACGAATGCCGCCCCGACTACGCCGCGAAGACTACACGGTAGGATGGATATGTGCGCTGCCTATCGAGCTGGCAGCGGCTATGGCGATGCTTGATGAGGAGCACGAAGACGCCCCTCGCCAAGTTGGTGATAACGACGAGAACATATACAGCGTGGGATCGGTTGCAGGCCATAACGTTGTGATTGGGTGCCTACCAGCAGGCCAGATTGGAACCAACTCAGCAACAGCTGTTGTGACACAGATGCGGGCAGCGTTCAAAGCCATTCGATTCGGCCTGATGGTAGGCATCGGCGGAGGCGTTCCCAGCGTAGAGGCCGACATTCGGCTTGGGGACGTGGTGGTGAGCCAGCCGCAGCAGAACTTCGGCGGAGTGGTACAGTACGACCTTGGAAAAGCGACGCCGCATAGGTTCGAGAGGTTCGGAGCGCTAAACTCACCACCTCGGATACTTCTCAGCGCTCTAAGCAAGATACAGGCGAAAGAATGGTCGGGCAAGAGCACGCTATCTAAACACATATACATACTCGAGAGCAACCCCACCTTCTGTCGCAGTAGAGCAGGTCCCGATCTTCTGTTCAGAGCGGCCTACAACCACGAACGCGGCCCAAGGTGCGACCAGTGCAGTGTCGAGAATCTAGAGCCACGACTAGAACGCAAGAGCCAAGCAGAGGTCAAGGTACACTACGGAACCATCGCGTCTGGCAATAAGGTGATCAAGGATGCTGTTGAGAGGGATAAAGTTAGTAGGTGGCTTGGTGGGGTACTGTGCTTTGAGATGGAGGCAGCGGGGCTGATGAACAGCTTCCCATGTCTTGTTATTCGCGGCATCTGCGACTACGCTGACACACACAAGAACTACCAGTGGCAGGCTTATGGGGCAGGGACGGCAGCGGCGTATGCGAAGGAGCTGTTATCGGTGATACCGGCAACCGACGTGGCCGCGTCACGCACAGTAGAGGAAGCGATAAAGGATGCCACGAATGGCGGAAGCAGTCAGTCCAGCCATCATGTTGCTATCCAAGCTGTATTCGAACTGACGTCGTGATAGAGCGACGCCTTCAGTCATCATCTCCTCATCGTGCCCCTCACAAGCGTAAAAGGATTGAGAATCTCAGCAGCCCGGAGAGTGACTTTGGAGAGTAAGTCATCCATGTCGCTGAGTGATACTCCCCCACTGAAATCCTGCTGATCATGACAGGCAGCGAGCTATCACGCGTACGTAACCTCAACCGTGCCTAAGCGCAGACATGACTTGTTCTTACTATGCCAGCCTCTATCCACTCCCAAGAACCCTCACAAACACCGCTGAACGGTGAACAAAGGCAGAATCTGTTAGATTCTCTCAGATTCTCTCAGGTTGATGCGCGCCAGATGACAATCAAGACCGCTCACGCCAAGACGTGTAGATGGCTCCTGAAGAGTGAGCAGTACCTCAGCTGGCTGGATAAGACCAAGGTAGGTAAGCATCATGGCTTCCTATGGATCAAGGGAAAGGCCGGGACAGGAAAGTCGACGTTGATGAAGTTCGCCTTGGTCAATGCTCCCAAGACGATGAAGGACTACATTGTGCTCTCTTTCTTCTTCAACGCACGTGGTGGAGACATGGAGAGGTCTACTATCGGGACGTACCGCTCGCTGCTACTGCAGCTCCTGGAGCGTCTTCCGGTACTCCAGAGCGTCTTTGATTCGCTCAGCCTCTCATCATCAAGCTTCAGCGCAGACCACCAGTGGAACGTCGAGTCGCTGAAGACGCTGCTAGAGCAAGCTATATGGGCCCTTGGAAATTCGTCTGTCGTATGCTTAATCGATGCGCTTGACGAGTGTGAAGAAGACCAGGTTCGGGACATGGTCCAGTTCTTCGAGCACATCGGCGATCTAGTTGTATCGAACGGCATCCGCTTCCAGGTCTGTTTCTCGAGCCGGCACTACCCGCACATCACAATCCGCAACGGGTTGGAGCTCGTGCTGGAGGGGCAAGAGGGACACTCGCAAGACATCACCAACTACGTCGAGACCGAGCTGAAGATCGGGAAGAGCAAGACGGCACAGCGGGTGCGAGCCGAGCTTCAGGAGAAGGCGTCTGGGATCTTCATGTGGGTCGTTCTCGTAGTCGGCATCTTGAACAAAGAGTCAGACCGTGGGCAGGTTCTCACGCTCCAGCGAAAACTACGGGAGATCCCTGGCGACTTGCACGAGCTGTTCCGTGATATTTTGACGCGAGACACACACAACAAAGAAGGACTAGTCTTGTGTATCCAATGGATACTTTTTGCAAAGCAGCCACTCAGTCCGGAGCAGCTGTATCATGCAATCCTATCGGGCGTCGATCTCGAAGTCGTGGCAGAATGGGATCCAGAGGAGATCACCAAGGACGTGGTTAAGCGATTCATCCTCGATTCGTCTAAAGGTCTTGCTGAGGTCACCGCGTCTAAAGAGCAGAGAGTCCAGTTTATACACGAGTCGGTGAGAGACTTCCTACTCAAGGAGAATGGCCTTGGCAAGATCTGGCCCGAGTTCGGAAGCAACTTCCAGGGCCAGAGCCACGAACGACTGAAGCAGTGCTGTCTCAACTACATCAGCGTCGACGTCGCCACACCATTAAAGATCCCTAATGACCCACTAAAAGCATTCTCACAACAAGCAGCAAGCTTGCGCAAGTCAGCAACCGAAACATTCCCTTTTCTAGAGTATGCCACACGTAGTGTGCTGTATCACGCGGACGCAGCAGAAGACGGAGGCATCTCTCAGGCGGGCTTCCTCGACAGCTTCCCGCTTCCTCGATGGGTTAAGCTCGACATCCTGTTTGAGAAGCATGAGGTGCGGAGACACACGGAACGCGTCAGTCTGCTGTATCTACTGTCCGAGCTCAACGCGGCAAATTTGATCAGGATCCACCCATCAATCAGTTCATGTCTAGATGAAGAAAACGAACGTTACGGTTGCGCCTTCTTCGCAGCCAATGCTATGGGGAATCAGGAGGCTATGCAGGCATGTATCGGAGGCCTAGTAATCAGTCCGTCAGTGTTTGAGTATAGCAAGAGCTGTCCAGAAAAAGATTCTATAAAGGAGAGAGTCGAAGGCAGTCTGGGCCGCGACTTCAAGTACTCCAAAAAAGTAGGAATACTCATATATGCAGTAGAGACTGGCAGTGCAGCCGTGCTTGCCTATCTGATCGGATCGAAGACCATAGAACTTGACACAAAAGATGCAAGGAGACGAACTCCACTGTACGTAGCAGTAGACAAGGGATCGAGTGTTCTAACTCGAATGCTGCTAGACAATGGCGCCGACGCTAACGCACAGGATGGAGACTACCGCAATGCACTCCAGGCGGCTTCAGAAAGAGGCCACACAGAGATCGTAAAGCTACTACTAGATAAAGGCGCCGACGTCAACGCACAGGGTGGACTACACGGCAATGCACTCCAGGCGGCTTCAGAAAGAGGCCACGCAGAGGTGGTGAAGCTACTACTAGACAATGGCGCCGACGTCAACGCACAGGGTGGAGACTACGGCAATGCACTCCAGGCGGCTTCAGAAAGAGGCCACAAAGAGGTCGTGGAGCTACTACTAGACAATGGCGCCGACGTCAACGCACAGGGTGGAGACTACCGCAATGCACTCCAGGCGGCTTCAGAAGGAGGCCACACAGAGGTCGTGGAGCTACTACTAGACAAGGGCGCCGACGTCAACGCACAGGGTGGATTTGGACTACACGGCAATGCACTCTAGGCGGCTTCAGAAAGAGGCCACACAGAGGTCGTAAAGCTACTACTAGACAAGGGCGCCGACGTCAACGCACAGGGTGGACTACACGGCAACGCACTCCAGGCGGCTTCAGAAAGAGGCCACACAGAGGTGGTGAAGCTACTACTAGACAAGGGCGCCGACGTCAACGCACAGGGTGGACTACACGGCAATGCACTCCAGGCGGCTTCAGAAAGAGGCTACACAGAGGTGGTGAAGCTGCTGCTAGACAAGGGCGCCGACATAGCCCTCTCTGACGAGAACGGATTCACACCAATCAACGCAGCGTCAAGCAACGGCCATTCAGCCGTGGCCCGGCTGTTGCTAGAAAGAGGAGCGTGTATTGTGGCTCATGGCGCTGATCGTCACTGCGACACCATCATGAACCTTTTTGCCTTTTGGGGTCATTTGGACCTCCTACGTCTCGCTCATGAGCAGTCTCATGCCGACGTACATCTTCCACAAATTCATGGTCGAACGCCCCTCCACCTTGCTGCAAGAGGCGGGCACATGGACACTTTTCAGTATCTTATCAGCCTAGGCCTTGACCCTACTACTATGGATGTAAAAGGAGATGATGTACTTTGCTATGCATCTTCAGGTGGCTCACTTGACATCGTTAATGCAATTTTGGGGAGGAGTCCCAAGCGCCTCCGTGAGAGTACGCAATGGGACCCTCTTCACTGGGCATGTAGGGCGGGAAACGTCGAAGTTGTGCGACTGCTGATTGAGGAGGGATTCTGCAGCAGATCGGTCACTATCCTAGAATCCGAAGGCCAATGGAGTCCTCTTGCCATTGCTCTCTTCCACGGAAATGACGAAATGCTGGAACATCTGTCTAGTTCTTTTAGATCTCGCCTAGGTATAGAAGCTAACACTGTCCTACTCCGTGGTACACGTCATGCTGGTTATTGGTGCAAGGGGTGCTTTCATGTAAGTGAATTGACGTTAGCATAAGCGTTCGAACAGTATCTCACGTGAAGGCAGGAAATCTATGGCCCGCGTTTCTGCTGCCGCACATGTTTGAATCTTGACTATTGCTTTATGTGTAAGCCTTTCCTTGGAAATATACACGAGAATCACGCGTGGGACTATTTTTCGGCCATTTATTAGCCCGTCGGTACGGATGTTAGGTGGTTTGTAAGAAGTATACTTTAGCAATTGTTGAGAATATCTGAGTTCAGTCCAGGGTAGAAGGTGCTTGGGAGTCACATGATATGCTGGTGTGGCAGGCATTGCCCAGTGGGCAATAGCACCCACCACAACAGAGTGAGTCTGTGACACTCAATACGAGAGTCAATACAATACGTTGCAGCCACCCCGCCTTGTCCCTCCTCCCACTCGGTTATCTATAGTAGTCATACTACTAGAGGGACCTTGTTCCAATAGCAATCAATAATTCTTTACCTTTAGTAAGAGAGTAATATAATATTCAAGGTTCTTAGTTCTAACATAATTATAGTTGTTGGATCGTGAGTATCGGTGGGGACGTCGGCTGCTCAACACTTCGGCCCGACTTCGGCCCGACTTGCGCTGAGCTTAGGTATACTGTCACGGTACTGACCCTGCCTGGGAAGGACATCACGTGAGGCACGTGACCTGTCGCTAGCCCCAGGGTCCAGCACTTAGATAGCTCTCACCTCGCGGAGCCTTACGCTCCTCACAGTACAATACATATTCTACCTCAGTCCCACTGCGCACCAGCTCCGTGATATATACCTTCGTAGCACCTATGTTCGTAGAGAATCAATTAGAACCATCACCGAGCAGAATGCATTCATAGTTATTGTTAGAACAAGGTCTCCTCTGGTGGTATGACTACCATAGGCGACCGAGTAGAGGTACGAAAGGTAACCCTGTATTGGATTGAACTTCACTAAGAGCTATTGTTCTATCTACTTGTTGTTATGATGATCTTAGGACGTACATGACAGATCATCATTCCGCGTCGGTCCTTCTGCTCGGGCTTACTCCACGAACCTCACCTCGCCGACCTGGACTGAACCTAACATATTCTTAACACTCCCCCTCAGGGCAGGTCCGGTCCAAGGACAACTCCTAATTGGTTCTTGAATCTCTCGAATGCGACTCGCTGCAATGGCTTTGTCATTCCATCAGCCACCATGTCTGCAGTTGGAACGTAGGCCACATCGAGTTTGCCTTGTTCTGCTAGGTCTCGGATAAAATGATAACAGACGTCGATGTGCTTTGATCTTTCGTGAAGGTGAGGGTTCTTTGTAAGTGCAATGGCACCCTGGTTGTCTCCTAGCATCTGGACCTTGTTGGTGTCTTTTCCAATGTACTTTGGGAACCCAAGATCTCTAAACATTTGAGCAATCCACTGGCCTTGCTTGCAGCATGTTGATAGTGCGATGTATTCAGATTCGCAGCTTGACGTTGCAACAGACCGTTGCTTCTTGCTAGACCATGATATTGGACCTCCGTAGAACATTGCAGTGCTCCCTGAAACGCTCTTTCGGTCTACCATGTCGCTTGCCCAGTCAGCATCAGAGTAGATGACAAATTGCGAGTGTACTCCCCCTGGTCCGTAGCGTAGCTTCAATGTCACTGTCGACCTTAGATATCGTAGCAGGTTCTTCAACGCATGGCCATGGTGTTCTGCTGGATCGCTCATGTATTGGCTTAGCTTTCCGAGGGTGAATGCAATGTCTGGACGTGTAAGAACCATAGCAAACATAAGGCTCCCTATCACTTGCTGGTATTCAGTGATGTCGATTCGGGTGTCGTTGTCAGTGGCTGGCCTAAATGAAGTGTAATCTGCAGATGGAATCTTCTTGTCTCTGTGTTGTTTGCTAGACATTCCAAACTTGTCAAGTACTGCGTGTAGGTACTGTTCTTGATCGAGGTAGATTGTGCGGCGCTTTCTGTCTCGCGTAACTCGTACTCCAAGGATCTTATGAATCTCCCCCAGGTTCTTGGTGTTGAATCTTCCAGAAAGCTTCTCGTAGAACCAATCAATTTGAGCTCGATCTTTTGCAGCAGCAGCAATGTCATCAACGTAGACGAGGATACGGAGTTGTTTTTCTTTGTGGATAAACATGCACGGGTCTGCGAGGCTTTGTACGAATCCCCATGCCAGAAGTTCTTTCTTTATCAACAAGTTCCAGTCGCGAGCAGCCTGTTTGAGTCCGTATAAGCTGCGGAGAACTCTAAGGACGTATCCTTTTTTGACTTCTACTCCTTGGGGTTGCTTAAGAAAGATCTCTTCCTTCAAGTGCGACTCTGTGAATGCATTCTTAATGTCAAAGTGGAAACATTCCAGGTTTTCCGCTGCGACAGTGGCCATAAACAGACGTAAGGTGTCCATGCGGACTGTCGGGGCAAAAGTCTCGTTGTAGTCTGTTCCGTGTGCTTGCGTAAAACCTCTTGCCACAAGGCGTGCCTTAAACCTCTCAACAGTCCCGTCGAGATTCGTTTTGACTGTAAAAACCCACTTTGAATCAACCATGTTCGCGTCTTTTGGCTTTGGAACTTCCTCCCAGGTTCGATTCTCTATTAACGCGATTATCTCTTCAAGTATTGCTGCTTTCCATTGCTTTCCATACTTTGGGTCGTTGATAGCTTGCTCGTGTGTCTGGGGGATCTGGATTCCTGCGATCTCGGTTGCTGCGAAAGCCTTCTCAGATAGTCGTGTTTGCTCTTCTGTAAGGCCAACTTGGGCTAGCATAGCTTTAACGATCTTGCTAAATCTCTCGTCCTCAACAATCTCTTCGTTAGACCTCTTCCGTTTGGCTTGTCTAGTGAAGTATCGTGGAATCTCCTTTTCTCGTACAGACTGGGTACACGGTTCTTCGGGCCCCTCTTCGTTCACAAGATTAGGAACCCGCTCATCAGATGGTGCAGTAGGAGGAATAGTAGTTAGCCTCCTTGGTCTTCCTCTGTGACGCTTCACTGGTTCATGAGTTAGCTCTGCCGAAGATGGTTCCATTAGGTTCTCGGAAACTGGTTCTATTGGTTCTGCAGGAGATGGTTCCATTGGTTCGGTAGGAGATGGTTCCATTGGTTCTGCAGGAGATGGTTCCATTCGTTCGGTAGGAGTTGGTTCCATTCGTTCGGCAGGAGATAATTCTAGATCCTTCCTAGGTCTTCCTCTTGGTTTTCGGTCTGGCATCGTATTCTGCGTTCCTTGTGGTCCAGCTGGTATGTTTCGCAGTCGTAGTTCAACTTTCCCTCCAGGGGTGTATTCGTCCACTGACAATCGGCTTGTCCTTGAGGTGTATCCAAGCTCTGGCGAATAGAACTTGAACTGCTTATTTGTTGTCTCAGAATATCCCATAAATACTCCAATTCTGCCACGGTCCACGAGCTTGTCATGTCGTTGGTCTGCTGGAATCGTTTTAGGGTTGATGTACGAATAGCATTTGCTCCCCCATACACGGATGTGGTCAATGGATGGTTTCGTTCCTGTGAATGCCTCTTCAGGACTGACTTGCTTTCCATTGATCATAGGTCCTGTGTTTGTACGGTTGCGTAGGTATGCGTCTGCTTCGACAGCTTCATCCCAAAACTCAATTGGTAAACCAGCGTCTTTCAACATTGCTCTCATATCAGCTTCAGCAGTTTGGATGTTTCGCTCGGCTGGTCCATTCTGGTGTGAGGAAGCAATTGTTGTAGGCTGAATTTCCACGCCTTGTGTAACTCTCCATTCCTCAGCTTGCTGTAGAAGTTCTGGTGCATTGTCGGTTCCAGCAGCTTTGACTTTCTCGCCAGTTTGATGTTCTACAAAGGTCTTCCAGATTCGGAGTTCCCGTTGTGCGTCTCCCTTTTTCTTCAGCGGGATAACCCAGTTTTTCCGCGTGTAGCTATCAATAATTTGGAGGAACCACCTGTTTCCTCGTAGAGATGTTGGAAAGGGTCCAGCAATGTCAAACTGTACTAAGGCTAGCTTCGTGGCCTTGTGCTCTCTTAGCTGCTTAGGGATGCTGTTCTTCATCTTTGTCAGGGAACACACTTCGCAGATTTCA